TCGAGGGGGACGCGCGCGCACTCTCACCTCCGACGCGCCGATGAGGTCGAGTCGACTATGAGCAGTCGGCAGGCCACGCTCAGACTGCATGAACCCCCCTTGCGACTAAGTCTGGCCTGTCCCCCTACAGGGGGATTTTAGAGGAAAAAGAAACAATAGTCAAGCAACACGCCAAAATCGTCAAGAATGAATCAAACACTAGTCCCCAGATTATGTTTAGACTAGTTTTGCATATTCTCCCTGTAGAGGGACACGCCCGACTTAACCTTACGAGGCAAAACGCTGCCAAAACGGAGGATCCTCACGCGAGCCGAGCACAGCCGACCGCAAGGCATACAAAGCCGTGCGTGAGCAGCTCCCCCCGCAGTGCTCGAGGGAGTCGTCGGCAACTGGACGGCTGTAGAGCGGTGCTCCGCGAAGCCTGTCAGGGGTGACCCACGACAGATGCCTGCCACGACAGGTGCCAGCAGCAACAGCACAGCGTGCTTGGCCCAAAACATCCGGAATCCCCTCCTCGGAAGACCGGGAGGAGGAGGAGGATGGGGGAGGAGGAGGAGGAGGAGGAGGAGGAGGAGGAGGAGGAGGAGGAGGAGGAGGAGGAAGAGGAGGAGGAGAAGGAGGAGGAGGGACGAGGAGGAGGAGGAGGAGGAGGAGGAAGAAGAGGAGAGGAGGAGGAGGAGGAGGAGGAGGAGGAGGAGGAGGAGGAGGAGGAGGAGGGGAGGGGAGGAGGAGGAGGAGGAGGAGGAGGCGGAGGAGAAGGAGGAGGAGGAGGAGGAGGAGGAGGAGGAGGAGGAGGGAGGAGAGGAGGAGGAGGAGGAGGAGGAGGAGGAGGAGTTGCTGATGTCAACGTCTAGGCCTCCGACTCCTCTTCCTTTTCTCCTCCCGCCTGCGGCCCCGCCGTGCGGTTCTCCTCGGCCTCGAGCGTGCGCGGGGCCGCGAGCCGCGCCCTCTCGGCACGGGCGGGGCCGCGCGGGGGAGGCGCGAGATCCCCTGCGCTGCCAGCCAGGCCCCGCGCGGCCCCGCGCGAGCGAGGAACGCCGAGCCCCTCGCCGCGAGAGACGCCGAGCCCCACGCCCGGCAGGAGCACGAGCCGGCGAGGAGGAGGGCGGGGCGGCGGAGGAGGAGGAAGAGGAGAGGAGGAGGAGGAGGGGGAGGAGGAGGAGGAGGAGGAGGAGGAGGAGGAGGAGGAGGAGGAGGAGGAGGTGGAGAATGAGGAAGGGGAGGAGGAGGAGGAGGAGGAGGAGGAGGAGGAGGAGGAGGAGGAGGAGGAGGAGGAGGAGAACGAGAGGAAGGAGGAGGAGGAGGAGGAGGAGGAGGAGAAGTGAACGGTCGTACCTCTGTGACGCGGCCATAAAGCATCTTAGCAGCTGCGTTGCGTTCTTCCAATGACGCTGCGCCTGCGAGGCGCGGGAAACGGGTCCGGGACTACCGATTCAAGCCTGCAGGCCCACAACCCACCCCCAGCGGGCGCAGCAGAGAGCAGGACGATCGCGCACCTCCTGTTCCTCCTGCTGCCCCCGTCGTTGCGGGAGCTCTGGGGGCAGGTGTGCAGAGGCGGTGCATATAATCAGAGTTAGGTCGGAGGTGTCCCCCTACAGGCGTATGTTGGACGATTTGTTTATATAAAAGATATTCCAAACATGCTCAAAGATGGTCAAAAATCGCCCCCGACTATGTCTTTACGATTTTTGAACATTCCCCCTGTAGAGGGACAGGCCCGACTTGAAATTAGAGTAGAAAGTGCAGGCGAGGGAGGGGGAGGAGGGCAGGGAGCGGGGGGAAGGGCCTGGGAGCAGGGGGGGGGGAGGCGGGAGCGGGCGGGGGAGCAGGGGAGGGGGACGGGGGGGCAGGGCAGGGAACACGGGGAGGGGAGGGTGCAGGGAGAGCAAGGGGGAGAGGGAGAGGGAGTGGGAGGGCGGAGGGGAGGCATGGGGGAGGGGGACAGGGAGAGGGCGAGGGAGAGGGAGGGGTGCACGGAGAGCAAGCGAGAGGGAGTGGGAGCCGGAGGGGTGGGGGAGGGGGCAAGCTCGGCGCGCTGGCGTCACATCTGACGTCCTACCCCTCCCTCCCATCTCTGAGCATGGCGCAGATCTCCCAGCTATTCGCACAATTGGATGTGAACCAGGGCAATGATCCCAAGAGGGTACGTGATGGATGGAAAAGCATGGCGTAGAAGAGCATGGCAGAGCGTAGCATGTCATAGCATGGCGTGGCGAAAACACTGCATCACAAAGCATAGCAACGCAAAGCATGGCATCGCATAACGGTGCACGACACAACATCGCATTGCATGCCGTGGCATGGCATCAAACGACTTGGATGGTAAGTGGCCCGTCTACGAAAGGACATGGCCTGTCCGAATGCCGGCTGGAGGCGCGGGAGCGAGGCCGACGCGCTGCGGCGGAGCACGATTGTGCATGACCGAAGCGCGGGAAATGAGGGCGGCGCTGCAACGGGCTATGTTGGAAGAGCCAGAAACGACCCGATGGAACAAACGCACAGGACATACAGAAGCACGTAGTGGAATCCTGTGTGCAAAG